TTTTTGGAGACAACACAAAGTAGGACCTTTGGAACTAAGTATCTTCAACTAGGAGGCAAAACAATGTTTTGTGTTGCTTTCACTCCTTTCAACTACTCTTGAAATACTGATTCTGAAGATAATTGAGAGAGTACCGGGAGAGTACAAAAACAGCACAAAAAAACCTGAAGTACAAATTTTACCTTTTACAATGCTACTGGATGACTTGGGAAGTTATTTTAAGAAGAGAACTATCTGCCTGCAGCTGCCAGTTTATTTTTTCTCCTCTACAAGGAATACAGAGTATTCATTATTGTTACACATCCAGCTTATTTTTTAAGTCCTTAACTAACAGAAAGACTTTAAAAAGAAATTTAACACATTTCTTGTTCCTTAAAATAAAAATATATCAAGTTGTTAAATAAAATTTACTAAAGATTTAACTCGGGGGGGAAAATCTTCCCCAAAATAGAACAATTTCCAATCAACTGTGTGTTACGTTATGCATACAAAGTAACAAAACAGCAAAAGAAAAAATGGTTCAATAAAGCTGTCAATATAAACGTTGTTTTATAGAAAAGCAGAGAGTTCTGAGAACTTCAGACATCTGCTTTATTTCCCACACCTAGTTACTTCCAGTAAGAACACAGAGAAAGGCACCTATTTGTTCAAATTTATTTACTCCCTACTTCATTATCAATTCTTTCATCCTAGTTTGTTAACACAGAAAATATACACAAACCTTGAATTAGAACATCTAAATATGCCAGTAAGGCTAGAAAATTTGCACAACAAAATATAAAACTTCCAATTCCATTTAGGTTTCTTAAAAAATAAACATTTGTCTCATATCTCTGCATTATGGTAGCTACCATATGCTTTTCTAATGTAACACTTTTTCCTCAACTTTAACATATTTTACAGATTCCTCCATAAAAAAGGTAATAGTAATCAGGTGATCATCACAACCACAGTTTATAAAGCAAAAATATTTACTAACAATCAACACAGGTATCAAAATTACTGAAAAACTGGATTTCCATTTATTATAAAGCCCCATTTTCAATATGGTTGTCATTTTCCTCTAGATCTATTTTTTCTTTCATTAGCGCTTTTCCTGGAATCTCAGGTAGGGAACATCAGGGTGGGAGGTGGGTTTGGACTGTTTTTTTGTTTGGGTAGGGGCTTTTGTTTTGGTTTTTTTTTTTAAATTCATACTCTTTTGAATCATAAATATATATTTTTTTAAAATAATGATTTCTTTAAAATCATACTACCTCAATCATCAAAAAATAACAAATGCCCAAATGGCAAAGACTGTGTTCCAGAGTTCTCATGAGGCGATAATATCTGCTTGCTGTCATGAAATTAATTTGACCAGGCGTTCAGCAGCAGCAGCTTTCCTTTCAGAGGAAGGTAACTACCAGCACCAGAACTTGCTCCCTATCGGAAACATCACTGGTTACATTGCAAAAACTGTACTGGTGATCTGAAATTATCTTTTAAGAATTCTCTTCAGTATAAAAATATTTCCATTTAATTATTCTACAGTTCAGTGAATAACAGTGACCGTAAGAGTACCAAATTTATTGCTGTTGAAAACCAAGCCTTTTGTGTAACCACAAAAAATACAGTTTGGGGCGAATATAGTACAGGTGGTTACCCAGTCCTTACTAGTGAATTTGATCTCCACTGTGGAAGAAAGTGGTTTCATAACATGGCAATTCCAGTATTAGTGCATATCAGTGCCAGATGAAAAACAACCAAGTCACATAATGCAAATGCTTTAATAGGGAAAAAAAAAATAAAATCTGTTGATACAAGTGCAAGTTTTAACAGCAGACTCTGTGCTGGACATCGTAGTGTCTGTCTTCCTCTAGCTAACTCAGCATTTCATCATTTATCGTGTTCTCCCTCTCCAACTAGATCACAGACTGACAGGTAATTAAGCACTGCATAAAACCAATTCTACTGAATACACAACCATGGCCTCAGGCTCCATGAAGCGTTAATCACCTGTCTTCTGTTCCCAAATGAAAGCTTCAGGACCTAATTCTGTGAGTATTGGCATAATAAAAAAATATTAAAAAAATAAACACAGGAACAAGCAGACAAATAATCATTATTTTCTATTATTTGCTGGCCTTACTTATTTTCAACCAGATTATACTAATACTGCATATTTAACTGCATACAGGTGATCAATATCCAAAATAGAAAAGTTTTTAATATCAAGAAAAAGTATGGGATAAAAAAGAATAATGACAGAATCGTTGAGGTTTACAGATAGAACTGTTAAATTTATCAAAGGTGACAGATAGCTAGCGTAGCATCAGACTGAATGGTATCTCTAGGGTTGCTATATTCCTACAAGCACATTCAGCACACATACATGTGTAAAACAGTTATCAAAAGTCAAGCACTTTATTAATTATCATTAGTTAGCTCTAAAAGAGCAAAACAGCCTAAAAAGCTTAAATAAAAAAAAAAAAACCCACCTAGGTACAGTGTTCCTAAACTTCAATCATTAGCTAGAGCTAATTTCTGTAAAAGCCTATTTCTGTAAAAGATTAATATAACACACATAGTCATAACTAAATCTGAGGTCAAACACAATCCCTTAAGTAAACTGAAACATGGAAAGCTAATCTCAGCCCAATGGCTAAACTGATCTATTCACAAAAGTCTTCATCTGCTTGTATTCTTCACCACCAAGTGAAAAAGACTCACTAAGAAGCAGGTGGCTTTTCCTACCCGCCCAGAGGTGCTAGATACAGTTTGCACTGTCTTCCTGAATGCAAGCTATTAAAAAAACCAAGTTGTTTCAGGCAGGAATTAAACAGACATGAAGACTGCAAACTTCCTAACAAATCAAGATGACGCTAACAGGGGTTCTAGTCCACTATCAGCAAGGATAACTATAGGATACAGCAAAGTATTCCACATCCCCTATATGTCTGGCCAAGCCTGAAGGAAAGATTGAAAAAAAAGAAAGATACACACCCCCCAGACACAGCTTCACTGGTTTGGCTTCTCACTAAATACCTTCACTGCCACTATTTTTCAAAAGAAAGTTATAGTTCACATTCTTCTACACTCCCGTTTAAACTGCAAAGCTGATTCTAGGCCCACAAATGTCCTACACTCACAGTGACATCACCTTTTAAATTTCTATCTAGACAAAATAAATACCCACTATATTCAGAGTTCAACCTCAAAGTATTTTTGTTAGGGACAGATGGAAGAGTGTAGGGAATCAGAAGTGTGAACTACTTCCCTAAGCTTAGTGAAATGCAAACCAGAAGCATAAGGTGTATAAGTTTACAGCCCTATGTATTGTTGACAACGTAACACGTATCACATCCTATTTATCCACTGTGAAGTAGAATAAATACCAGTCTCAGAAAGAATAACCATTACAATAACAGTCTAAACAACTTCTTCCGTCTTCAAAGAGGATTTCCTAGACTAAAAAAAAACTCAAATAAGCATTGACAAAGATGAATAACAAGGCACCGACAGGAATGGGCGTTCTTTAGAGTTTGCTGTGCTGTCATTCCAAGTAAAAACTCAGTTCTCTTCTACAGCAGATTCTTTGCTGCAGAGCGGAAATAAAAACACGTTACAGCAGTATTATACCTCAGGGTTTTGGTGCAGGTTTATTATTTCACAAAGCCGTGTAATTTCTTCCCCAAAGCCACATTCTTCTTGATGAATACTTAGCAACCCCTGAGGACTATTTCCCTGCTATGATTTCCAGCCAGGCCAACGCAGCTTCTGAACGCGGGCCCACCCCACGGCCGGGCGCTCCTCGCCCCGCACCCGCTGCCGCCCTCCCGCTCACACCTGCGGGGGAGCGCGGGCCGGGCCGCGACAGCCACAATAACACCATTTATGAAGAGAACACCTTGCATCAGCCGGGGAGACGGAGGCAGATGATGAAAGAGGAGGAAGCTGGCAAAGGCCAGCGCCCGGGGCCGGCCCGGCGGGGAGCGCTGCCCGCTAAGCCCGCTCGGCCGCCTCAGAGAGGCCCGGCGGCCCCACCGCGCCCCGTTCACTGCCACCCTGCCCCGGCCCCAACGCCCCCCGGGCTTCGCCCCGCTCCAAGTAGCCGCTCCGCGCTGCGGGCCGCCACGCTCCCCGGGTGACTGCGCACCGAGGTCCGGCAGAGAGGCGGCAGCCCCCCCCGTGGGCCCCTCCCGTCGCCTTACCGGAGCGCGGCCCCCAGGGGGGCCCGGCACGGACGAGGGGCCGCCGCTGCCGCCACCGCCGGTGACGCCGTCAAAAACAACACCGACCCGCCCGGGCCGCGCCTGCGCACGGCGGCGGTGCCGCGCAGCACCCTGGGCAGCGCAGTCCGCGCCCCGCCGCCGCCCGCCGTCCCGCGCTCCTGGCGAACTACAACGCCCAGCAAGCACCGCGGCGGCCGGCCGGCCCCGCCCCGCCGGGCCCCCGCTGCCATGGCAACGCCACGCCGCCGAGCGCCAGGCAGGGCCTGCCTCTGGGCTAGAAATACTTGATCCTTCGAGTAGATGGCGGCGAATTAACCTATTTGGAAAGTTTCCCAACAGCGGAGGTTTGGAACTGCTCCAGGAGCAGCTGTCCGTCCCGAGGGCCGCCCGCGACCGGGATGAGGCAGTTCCCGCCGCGCAGAGCAGTGCCCAAGGCCCAGGGGTCTGCGCCGAGCAGGGCTCTGGTAACATAACCGGGAGACGACAACAGGCCTCGTTAATAAACATAGCAAAGGAAAAGCCAGAGTTCCTTACTTGAGTTTTAGCTAAACTAGCAACTTCAGTGTTTTCTTCATCTCTTAAGCGATTGACAAATAGAGAAAGAAGATGTCATTGCACCTCTGAAGCACAGGGTTTGAACGGCTCACTCAGCAAAACCAAGGGAGGTACCCGATTCAGTGCCATTTCACCCCACGCTCATCAATATCGTGTTAGAGCACTCTGCATGAATGTACTACCAAGTCTCTGTCATAACTTAATTCATGCCCCACAGAGGAAAAAAAATTAAAAATGCATGCATGTGAACATGAGGAAGAAAGTAATTTGGAGGTTTGTTTAAGGCTCTATTTTAGCATACGTATTTCTGTACATTAGAAAATAAGAATCTAAAACAAACCATCCACAAAGCCTCACTATATTCTTACTCATTTTTATTTTTATTATCCATACTAATTATTTCTGCCACATATATTAAGATATTTTCTATGCTCAAGATTATCACTAACGCAGAAATTGATGCAAATTCCAGTTGTCACTATACTTCATAGTCAACATGAGTCCATTTATCGCTGTCTACAGATTACTAAATAAGGTCAAAACTCAGCAGTGTTAAGTTCCTCACTTTCCACTGTGCATGTATTTCAATACACATCTTGAGCAACACTTGCTTCAACCACAAACGTGTAACAAATATGAAATGCTTTGCCCTGTTATTTGAAATGCTGAATTAAAATCTGTCTCTCAGTAGGGAAAGAAGATGACTTCTGCCGAGAAACTGCCCTAAGTCCAAACACTGAGTTAAGCCAACCTCCTCCTTTGCTTCCCTGCACAAATCCTGGCAATCTGGTGTTTTCTCATATGCTGAACCCCAAAACACTCATGACCAATGGTTCTTTGACAAAGCCTCAAGTTTTACTGTTAAAACAACTTCAAGTGAATATGGTGCTGTTCCACCTATCTCACAGGTGGTACCCCGTACTTATCACCCAGTGGATCAAACCTTTTCAAAACACTTACTCACTTGTGGGTCATTTCAAGGTAGTTATTTAAACACCACCACTGACAGAAGTGGTGACTGGTGACTACCCCAATTTACAGCATAGTCTGTAAAAATGCATCTCTATTTTTTTGTCATAGGGTTAGACTAGATACTTAGCTTTAAGAAAACTAATCTGTTATTTCAGTCATTCTGGGAATAACTGTCAATATCTGATTTATTTTTGTTTTGATGGGTTGAATAAGATGTATCAAAAAAACACGTAGCCCATTTGATGATACACTTCTCTCAATCAGGCCTGAACACATAAAAATAAAACTTTTGAAACCGGTATCATAACTGCAGAACTGTAATTTTATAGAAAGAGTTAAGTGCAAGAGACCTCAACCTGAGGGTTATTTGTTAAATTGAAGTATTTTCTGGTTTTAAAACTTAGTCAATCTCCACATTCCTACATCTCAGGACACTAATACCAACACAAAGCATGACTTTGATAACGATGTCCACACCATTGGCTTAGCTATTGAAGTCAGAAGTGGAACATCCATATGCTCCCAATATAATCAGATGAAACAGACAGATACTGCTCACACCACCAAGCACTATTTGCTTCCCTAACCTTTAAAGAGGGCATTGTTTCTATTTCATAGCAGTAGAACAAGGTGCCTCTCTATAACGAATCACTACAATACAAACAGCCTACACAGATGTATACAGGTTGTTCTAACAGGCTCTGAAAGCAAAGCAGAAAACGTGGAACTTTGAACCAGCACCTGCTTCTTTGCATTTTCTTTTTCCCATTGCCGCTGTCTCTCCTCGTTAGCCCCCACTTACCCTCAGAAAACAGCCCTATTTTGGCAAGTGTGCCACTACACTCAACTGAGCCACTAAGGCTCCTACACTGCCGTCCTATAATTGCTATAAATAAAGTATTCTCACCTCCTTCCATTGCAATGCAGTAGGGACCTGTATGAAAGATGGAACAGCAGCTACCCCAGACATTTCCGACTCACCTCAGGACTCCTCTCAAGGCTCTAGGTAAAGCAACTGGAACCAACACCTGCCACCTTCTCCCTGTTCCAAAAGTGAAAAGTTTACACAGGATGACATTTATCTGCATAATAAATATTTTCTTCTAAAGACAGAAATCAGTCATAAATGGCATTCAGGAAACTGGCCGATGTGGAAAATTCAGAAGTCTGCTAAAACTGCTACTGAAGGGAGCGTAGTTGAAATGGTCACAACTTGCATAGAATGCTTAATAAAACAGAACCACTTCAAGTCCAGTATTTCAGGCATTTCATTGTCACTGTAATACAAATGCTAACGTATATATATATATAAACAATATAATACTATATTACATTCTTCCACTATCTAAAATGATAGGTGCAGGACTTCAAAGCACAGTGTCATACTTCATGCCAATTTACGCCACTTGTAACCTCTCCGGGATGGTTCTTTTTTTGAGAATCTTTAATCACACCAGTATTCCCGAGACAGTGACCAATGTCAACAGAGTACAAGTTAAATACTAGCTCAAGAAAAAATTATATAAATAACAATCTTTTTGATTCAGAATATGCTGTATAGCTACTCTGTAAGATTACTAATTGTAGTAGGATGCAAGAATTAAGTCATATTCATTGATAGGACAATTTATCACAGGATTAATTTGTCACTACACTACACTACAATGCTACAAGTTTATAATTTTTCAGCCCGAACAAAGGCTTCAAAATATTCTGAAAATATTGAATGTACATTACTTAACATTAAAAACAATGTTCTGCACTACATAAAATCATAAAATCTACCTCTAAGTTTCAAGGTGGAGATTTTCCAAACTAGAGGCCTGAATTCAAGTATCTAAATTCACTGTCTTAGTCTCAGATGTACCAAACACTATGAACAATAAAAAAAGAGGAAAGGTTATAACCATAACCATATCACACACATCTGTTTCAGCTTTGGTGGAGAACAGAAAGATAAGAAGTTAACAGTTGTTGACTATATGGAGCTACTGAAGTTGCCTGAAAACCCATTATCTAGATTCAGTAGATATTTCCAGACAGATATTTCATTTAGTCATGAGTAACTTTAAATCAAGTACCAAAAGCGTGTTTTAATATTCAGCCCACAAATATTTCATAGAAAGCAGAACCACAACTTTGTATCAAAATGAGATATAACATATCTAATCTACAATACTATTCTACTTTCCAAAAATAGTGATTCATATACCCAACATTTTACCAATTCTGTAGGTGTTCTGAGTGAAACAGAAAAATGTCTAGTTAACAAAATATTGAAGAGAACTAAGGTTCCTACTGATGCCCTTAAAAGGCACCCAGGTCAAAAAGCTTTTTTTTTTTTTTTTTTTTAATTAAGAATCTTGTGTTGTTCCTTGAATTAGGTGTCGAATCTTCTCAGCATCTTTTTCTATAGTTTTATTTTCAGGATCAATCTTCAGAGCTGCTTCATAATCCTGGAGACCTAATTTAGATACATCAATAAGAATGTCAATCAATAATGCAAGAGCATCCTCTTCAGCAACTACCTGGAAATAACTGTTCCTTAATCATATACATAGAATATTGATCTTGAGTTTTGCTACTGAGCAAGATGAAATCAGAATGACATTAGGTTTAACTTCTGTTAGTAAATAAATTTATATTTTGTTTATATAATTTTAAAAAACATTTTAGTGGAAACATTCTCCTACATAAACATCTTCAGGTATTGAAACATGAAAACAGGGCCTCTTCATTCATATATATATATATGTATATATATGCATGCGTGCATGAGGGGAATGTTCAAAAACGTTTTGCAGAAGAGAGAAAAGTTGAATGACAGAATTAAAGTGCGTGAAAACAAGAGAAAAACGAAGACACGAACTGTGAATGCTAGAGCTTGGGGAGAAGAAAGCAAACCATGAGTACAGGAAGCAAAATAAAATCTTGTTTAATTGTCTTTCTTATAAGGTTTCCAAGTGCAAATGAAGCTCTAAGGAATGACAAAGTGATTCATAGGCAAAAAAAGGAAACCAATGAGAAAAGCCCACACTGACATTTTGAATATGCTTCGCTTCCTATTACCAACTTTCATTTGTAAATTTGCCTTACACAACTAAACTGATACTCTTGGAGACCTCAGTAGGGACACTTAATTCCAATATTTTCACACAAATCACACATACTTGATGAAACATTTTGCTCATCAATACAGGTTTCATACACCATTTTACAAAGATATGGTATGAAGTACTTCACAAGCAAATATTGTAGAAGTATTTCAGGTTATCTTAAGTTAATTTGTTCTATGGTTGTAAATATTGTAAATATAACCTCAAAACTAATAACCCATTACTCCATGAACAGCAAAACTAGTGCAAACTAGTTCATATCAGTTTGCATCCTACATTTGAATGCTTCCTAATGCAAATACCTCATCTCTGACCTCTCATTCTTTCTTAACTAATACCTTCTGCTGCAACGCTCAATAGCTGACTGTTATGCACAGAAAGACCGACTACCCAATAGATCAAACAGAGGATACACAACTCACTAAAGTTCTTTCCTCAAAGGAAAAACTAACTTGTACTCCCTTAAACTAGGAGCATGCAATCAATTTTTTTAAAAACTTGTAAAGATTTTTCAAGTGGCATTGCAATTAGCCAGTAACATAAAAAAATAAAAATTAAGGAATGTGGTATAACGGCTCATAACAAAAAGAGACATAGATTGTACAGGCCTCCTTTTATAGCTCTCCTGAAAAAAAATAAAGGTGTGAGCTGTCTCATTCAGCCAAACAGAATTACTTGCATGTCACTATAAATCCATGTGTATGTTTTCACAAAATCAAGGTCTCACCTTCAGTATATAATTCCAGCTGACAAAATGCTGTTCCCCGTCTCACATATGCTTTTACTCGAGCATTCTCATTATCAGGAACAGGTGGTGTCAGCAGTTCTAGTGCCTTTACAAATGAAAAAACCCAAAATATTTTTAGGTCAATTTTCCATAATTTTGGTGGTTTTTTTCTTATTTACATGCACTTCTCTCACCTAATTAGTATTATTATACAGTAATGTAATAACAATTCAAATAGAAATAGAAAATAACTATTCAAATATAACTATATACCTTGTGATTCTATTCATTAAGATTTGTATCTATCACCCCACAGTTTGCTAAATACAGTTTCGTTGCCACAACTAAAAACTGACAAATACTGTGTTAAATGTTTATTACAGTCAAATAATGTATTCTATTTTCATACATGATATTACATACAATGCTACAGAAAAAAAAAAGAAAGAAACCAGCCCTAAAAAAGTACATGTCGTGTAGCAGTAGTTACTAAAAAAACCCAAGTTTCAAGCACCAAGTACTGATTATTTTTTTGAAGTAATAATTCTGGGACAACTTTCTTCAAATTATTCACGTGCCATTTGATATCCCTCCTCTCTTGTTGCACAGATAATGGCTACTAAAATATCGAATTGATACAGTCCTTCTCTAAAAATGTCTTGTTTGTTGGGATTTTTCTAAGGTATCCTCATCACCATCACCTTTTTTTTTTTTCTTCCCACAAAATGAAGAACACCACAACATAATACAAAAAGTATCTGTGTACAGTTTCTTTTTTCCTTCTCAAAGTTGTCTTTTTTTTCCAGGTGACTATATTGCTACACTATTTTACCTGTAAAGAAATACATACTGAGTCAACATAAGGCCATTTAGTCTAAATGTGTGGAAGTATGGTTTGGGGTTTCTTTGTTGTTGTTTTCTTTTAAATTTATGAAAGTTCATTGATCAATCATTATCAAGTTTTAATATTTCATTAAAATGGCTTCGTTTTATCAATTTTGAGTTTATAAATTTTGAATCACAATAATAACTGTTTATAGATCTGCATAAAATAGAAGCATCACAGTAGTAAATCACAACCACATATAAGATGACAGTCAGAGAACCTATATATTTATACCTTAGAGGAATCTTCAATAGCTTTATGTAAATTTCTCAGTTTAAGGTGGCAAGCAGCACGATTCAGATAGAGTAGGGGAAGCTTATTGTTTAGCCGCACTGCGAGGTTATATGCATTTACAGCTGCAAGATAGTTTCCTGTTGCAAACATTTTGCTAAGTATAAAACAAGAAGTGAAATATGCACTTTAAACAAGGTGATATATCACAAAATAAATAACTATGTATTATTCACAATTCATTTTCAAAAAATTTGAAGTTTTAGTAACTTTTCCTTGGAAATGGCCATTTACAGCCTTTCCTGAGAACAACATAGTTGAAGTTCAGTGAAACTTGATGCTGATAATAAAGCATATAGACACATGACTTAACAAAACCAGTGACTGCTTAAAAGCAATGAAGAACAGTAAGAGGTAAACATATTTATGTAGACACAGGACTAATTTTGAAAACTGTGTATCTAATTACTATCTCCTAATCAAACCTTTCTGTACAACACAGCTATATAAACATACCAAAATTTTTATCAAATCCCTAAAGCTTGTTTTAGAGAGATATTTAACCTCTCAATAAAAAGTACAAATGAAAGGAAATACATCTGTGTCTAGGATAAAAATATCAAAACTAAACAATAGACACACATTATATAATTAATACTTTGTTTTAAATACATCTTCAAATGGAATCTAACTTACTTTCCTTTCTCCTTTAACCAATCTGGATTCTTCTCCTCTTCTTTTAAATCTTCCAGCTCAGACAAATCAGCACTTATTGTCCTTCGGGCTTCTGCTTGTTTACGTAGCCACTGTCAATATACAATGTGCATGTATTTTTTCTGAAGCAAAATTCAAATCCAAAAAAAGGATTTTGCTTTCATCTCTTCACTCAGTCCTATCAAAAGAATTCTATTTGCCATGTATTTTGGATGGGCAGAAGTATTTAATATTGTCAGATATGAAAACCTTCCAAGTTTCCCCAAATATTTTATGACTATGTGAGAGGTAAGGTTACTGCATCACTAACCCATTTTTGTTTGCTTGTTTGTGTTGGAACTTCCAAAATGACTCTTTGTGTTCATTCAATAGAACTCAGAAGAGCTAACTGTGAGCTTCTTTTTAAGAAGGAAGAACTTAAAGAATCTTAAATATAAGAGTAAAGACATTTTGAACTTTGTACTTCAAGGAATTCAATTAATATTTCTGCCTTTCTTTTTTTCCACTCCCAACACAAAAAGTACATGCTATTTATTAATCTGCATAATCACATGCTTGGTGAAAAGAATTTTTATGTAAAAAGATTTCTTTACATCTTAAATAAGACTGACTTCCTTAGAAGAGAAGAATATTGCACAGGTAACATTTCTTGGCAGAGGTAACATTTTTGCCAACTTACTGAATAAGGTGTAAGAAATTCACCACCTTGGAAGACAGTAGAAGCATCTTACTAAAACAGAGAGCAATCCTACCTCCTCCTCTTCTGCAACGCGAGATTCTCGCAGAGCTGTAGGAAAAACTCGTGATGTAAAGTTGATTTTAATTGTAGCAGCAGATCGAGGAGCTGGTAACTGCTCTTCCTTTAAGTTTTCTGAAAATATACTATAGGAACCACGACCTACGAAGAAAATTGGAGTACTGGAAATGAAAAATGAAGCAAAAGGGATTTTTCTGTTTTTCTTCCAAAGTACACCTAATTTAGAAATTCTTCACATTAGAACTTAACCTCTAAAAGGTCTAGAGTTGTTCTTTTGAAGGGAAAGTTCAAAAAATGTTTGTTCAGGCTGTATCATGCCATCTATTTATCCGTCAGAACCGAACTTAAACTTCTCTTACATCACTATCTCTGTCACTTATATGATTCTCTGACTGAGCAACTGCAAGAGCTAAAACTAACCTTACCAAAACAAACAAGCAAAACAAAAATAAAATATTTTCTGTTGTTTTAGTTCCCTGAATCGGCTTTCTGTGGGGCCAAGACATGGGACAGAGTGCGAAAGAGACTGCATATTTCTCCGAAAGCCAGCAATTAGGTAACTTATGGTAACAGGAACTCCACCCTCAAAGTCTGCATTACACTGTCAGAGACACTTGCTGTTTCACTTTTCTGAAGCTTAGAACAAAACCTGCCTTTGTATTTCCAAAGATTTAAAGTAGAGCTAAGAACTCCCATGCTTTAGCTCAATAAATTGCCTGAAAATAAAAACTCTAAAATAACTGCAGTTTAAAAGAGTTAGTTTGGTATGGTGGAGACAGATAAATAATGAACCAAAATATTTAGGAATATTTAGGAATAAAGTTATACCCACACTTGAAAGAATAATAAAATACACTCCAATAATACAACCTTTAGTAGGTTTGAGTCTGGTCTTAGAAGTTCCTTCATTGGGAATCCTAGTTTTGTTCATTTTTTCCTTTTTCTTCTCCTTTAATTGCTCTATTTCTTCATGTAGTTCCCCTTCTTTTTGTACCCTCTTTTGTTTCTCAGCATCTTCTTGCTGTTTTTGCCATAACTCCAACTCCTTAGTGACCTTCTGCCGCTCCTTTTCTTTCAGATCTTCAATTCTTTTTCTTTCTGCTTCTTCTAGCTGTTTGAATGATAAGCCTATGAGACATGTAACACCTGATAATAGTAAGATGACTAAGTTACCATTATTTTCCCACTTTCATGTCCCAAGCATAGTGTCATCATTGCTGTGATCATACAAGCAGAGTTATGAAAGATGCTTAAAAATGACTGATAAAGATTTCTGGTTAGATTTTACAAGTCTTATCGTTTCACTATTTTACTACTGTGACTAAGGTATGATCCAAACACATTCAGAAATAAATTTTATCATTGCAAACAATGAAAATCCTACCCATATTCCAATGCAGATCTCTGGAATATACATAAATGTAAAATATATGGCTTAATTTTAATACACTATTTCTCGTCTCTCAGATTATTACACAGGTAGAATAGGTACAACATTGCTATTAAGACAGCTACTAACTGCAGTCCATTTTGGTCCAAATTTCATATTCAATCTTAAAATTTCATTGTATACTCTTTAAAATCCTTTTCAACACAAATAAAGTGATTAGACTTTTCTATACATAAAAATTTTGTCTAAAAATCTGTATTTTTAATAGTGCCAAATGACTAAACACTTGCACTGATGCAAAGGCCACGAAAGAGTATGGTTTTGCCATATTATTGTAGTCTCCTTTGAACTGACAAAAATATGAGCTCCTTGCCAATTATTTTTATTATTTTAGTATTACTCATGGAAAATGGCAACTTAAATATTTTTTTTCTGTATCATTTTCATATTTGGTAATAGATATGTTTTAACTACAAAGAAATAACAAGGTCCTCCACCACTGTAGTAGAACTGAGTACTTTTCATATTTTTTAAGGTACATTTAACCAAGCAGCTACCAGATTATTTGATAATTGTTCACACTACATGTCTTGCAGAGTTTCCTCTAAGCTTACCTTCATTGTGGCCTCCAAAGCATATTTTTTATGTTCCTGTTTTGTAACTTTTTTTGCTTCTGTCTCCTCTTTTGCCTTTTCATGGGCTTTTAGAACAGCATTCTCTCTTAGATACTGCAGTTTCTCCTTGTCAGCTTGATAAAAAAATAAAAACTATTCTAGTAATTTAGGCGTGAAGTTCTACTGTTATGTACCATATTCATAAAACCAGGATTCTTTCTGCTATTTGTCAGGGAAAACGCAATGTGGTTCAAATTTCACAAAGCAGTCTCTATCAAGCCCATCTCTAAAAAAGAAAAATCTAAGATTTGCTAACACACAAAATGTAAGTTACAAGAAACATTGCTTTGTGCTGTGTGCACTAGAGGCTGCACATATTCTTTGTCTGTTTTCATATACTTTCTGGTTTAAACAATGAACAGCAAGGTTTAACTTATCAGATATCTAGCAGCAGAAGTTTCACATTGCTTATTAGAGTTTGTAAAGTTTTGGCACAGTCTGAGTTTCTTACACAAAACCTTGTTTTCACAGCAGAACTTACCATTTCCTAGAGTTAGGGAATCCCACATGGCTGCCTCTTTTTTATACAAAGTGAAAAAAATGACTCCATTTCCAATCTTTGCTGTGCTGTTTGTGTCATCAATGGGAGCATATAAAATGGCTTCAAATAAAAAGGGAGGTATGCTTACCTATAAAAATACAACGTGGACTAATATTTACAATTTTTAATTAAATCTCACATATTCAAAATACTCAGTACAAGCATACAGTAATCCTCAAGAAACACATGCTATTGACAAAACTAATTTGCTTAGTATGCGGTATAAAGGTTATATATTTTATTAGACTAGATAAAAGAAACTGAAAAAGTTGCTTCTTCAGCACTGCAATAGAGTCCTTAAAATTAGAATTGAGTCCTAATATAAGCAGCTGTGTATGAGAGAAAAGGCAGCTGGTACTTATTGAGTAGCAGGAGCACTACCACAGAGAAGAATGAAGAGTGGTAAAGCTGTTATCTCTGGTGAGATGGGTATTTACCAGCCTGCAGCATACAAAGGGAGGTTATAGAGTAAATATCATAAAAGATGATAAACTTGACAGCACTGCTGCCATAGTGTATTAAGCCAGTGCTTTTTAACAGAGCGATAAAGCAAGGCCAAGCACAGGCCCATGGGCACAGCACATCCCAGTGCGGTGACACCTCATGAACAGCAGCCTCCTGAGAGGAGTGCGGCCGCCTCACCTTCAGGTATTGGTCGGTGCAGAAGATGTTGGCGGGAGTGACCTGAAGGCCTCGCACGGGCAGCGAGAGGTAGACGGCGGAGGCTGTCTGCCGCCAGCAGTGCTCCCGCAGCCACACCGGCATGGCGGCCCTGTTGCTACGGGCGCGCCGCCGTTGCTAGGGGCAGGAGAGCTTCCGGTGCTCTGCAAGAGCGCGTCCGGGGCCAGCGCGGAGGGATCCGGCGGTGCCTGGGAGGGGGTCGTCGTCATTCACACCTCAGCGGGGCGGGGAGGAAGGCGGGCTTTATTATCCAAATGCATGGCCATAAAGAGACAAACTGCTCTTTGAGAACGTCTGGTAAAAACTATTAAAAGCTGAGGGCTGATTTAGCAATGCACTGAAACTTCCCCACGTCCTCTGAAAGACGGATTGCCTCACAGGCTTGGCGGCGATGTGCAGAGTGTGCTGGGCCTCCCTCAAACCCACAGCCACTCTCTGCTGCTGGAACAGCTACTGTGGAGAAAGCAGAGGCTGCTGGGGAGCTCGAAAGGAGAGCCAAACACATCTGCATAAACATCCCAGTCTGCCTGAGTCCCTCTAAAGTAAACAACTACTTAGAACTATTTGGAAAAAATCCAGAACCAAGAAGTCTAGTTTTGCCCCTTTTCTTTCTTTTAAAATATGACCAAAGAAAAGTGAGCTAAGATTTCTGATGTGTGTCACTGAAAATTTGATTTTTATGTTCTATATAATAAAGCAATGTTCAAATAGCAGTGGTTGCTATTAAGTTGTGTGTGTATATATACATATATCTATAAAAGTAGATATCACAGAGGTTCAAAACTTTCTCAGAGCAAGAAATCCATCATAACTGATACAATTTCTAGGTTATTTTCCACTCTCACTCACCTACATCAGTATCATCTGGATGAATGTTTGCATGGACTGGAATCTGAGAATTCAATTCCTCATTCCAAGAGCACTGAAAAGTACAAGAGAAAAGAGATTTAACTGAAAGTCAAAATGCTTTAGGTATTTTTGGCACAAGTGACTTTTTTTTTTTCTTTTAAACCTCATACAATATATGTTTTCAGACTTACGGTAGGATCTGCATCATGGTATAAGGAGCCTTGCTGTCAGCTGCAGAAGATGAGACTTCTGTGGTTCACAGTTCTGACCCCAGACTTAAACCATGACATCTCCAGAAACAGACTGCCATCAGTCTAACAAACTGTAAGAGAAAGTAAGTAAATAAAAGCTGAGGAAAGATTCTCCCTGTAAGAACAAAACTCCTCCGGTTTGTTTTAAACCTCTCTCATGTTACCTTTATTTAATATCTCTTAGTTGTTGGTATTCCAAGACAAACTTCAGGCAAGTGAAGACAAGGATGAAAGAGGAAGTTCAAACATCCCTTCTGTGCCATTCAGTTTTTTATACCCCTTTCTCCACTCTTGAGAGATGTTCTTTTTACCTAGAAACACTTAGTTTACTTTTCTTTTACAAAGCTTTTCCTTGCTGACTCCGAAGCTTTCCGAGTTCTACTGCATTGAAAACAGAAAGGCCAGAACGGCACACAGTAGTCAAAATCCTATTTGCCTATTTTCTTCCTAGATGAAGTAATAGAAGAGTTGGGAGTTAAAGGGTATAAGGTTTGGTTTTGTTTTAAATCAGGGTGTTCCAATAGCAGCACCAGCTAGAATAATTATAATGTAACAGTAACTGATAATGTCCTACCACTCCAGAATGTGACAGCTGTGGTCATCCAAAATGCATCCTTCAGTTTTAGAGACTTCATTCAAGGACAATAAAGGTCTTCGGTCTGTTGACTGCTGGTCTTCTGTCCTGGCCATCCTGGTGACAATTTTAGTTTAATCACAGAGAATATACTGAAATAAAGCAGCTCATTATTTATTCCTGCCAGAAGGGGCATACAATGTCCTTTACAGGACAGGACATAGTTATGGTTACCTGTATCCGGTGTTCTCAAGTTACACAAAAATAGCTCCAATACATTAACAAAAAAGTCTATTTGCTTAAAAGCTGGATCTTCAATGCAAAGCTATGTATTTCATTTATAGAAGACAGTAAATGTCACTAACACATTTCTAAGGCAAAGTATCAGATTTAGCTGCTAAGACATAAAAGGGACTGAGCAACGTCATGGATCAACCTTAAAAATCTTATATTTATACATACCTGAAGAAACACCACCTCTGTCATGCACATTCCCCCATTGCTAACTTACTTGGACAAATAACTAAGCTCTCACTGTGACACTTTTGCAAAATAAACCAAGAGAAAGATCCATCCAGGATTGTTCTTCTGTCGGCACTAACTTATCGTCAAAAGTGCATGAAACTTTGTAGTGAGATAAAATTTTCCTTGGAAAACTTTATTCTTAAATTCCTATCTCCTGTGCTATGAAGGATGGAGATTTATATTCCAGTCAAATCTTAATAATATTATTAATACTTTGGAACCTCTCAGTTGCCAATACATATATCCATCTCTTCCAGGGGTTATTTCACTTCTAATAGCTTCAGAGGCTTTAATATACGGGGGGAAAAGTCCTTTAAGTAGTTTACATTTTCTTATCTTTAATGTAATAACCTTTTTTTCTCCAGTCCTTTCTAAATTCTCTCTCATTTCTTCCATCTTTCCATATTTTTTAAGAAGAGCAGGAACATTTTATGAGGAGCTATTTACTCCAACAAACTCTTTTGCATGTGTGGCTTAGGACCACCCATATCAGTTGCTTTTAAAAATTACTAGTAAGGTGCTGATTTGGTATGTGTTAGTTCTGGCATTTCAACACACAGGAATAGCTCAGTAATAATTTTATAAATTAGAATAATTATTTGCATAATCTCTTCCCAAGTGCAGAAAGCTCTAAAAAAAAAATCTCTTCAGCCAAGAGGTGCCTGAGCCTTCTGTCCCATCTCATAAGAACGAAATGGGGTTTATAGTGCAAGACCTCTTCTAATCTGCTTTGAAGTTACTTCAGATTAATGCCAGAACAGTGGACCTCTTGAAGAGAGGCAGGAGCTGTCTTTTCTGATCAATACAACCTCATATTTTGCAGGATTATAACATCCAAATGCATTCTCACAGGCAAAGCATTAAAAGAGTTAATCTAGCCATTACATCACCTTTATAAAATCAACAGGCAACTTCCCCGCAAAAATTATCTTTATTTTAAAAGAAACTGAAACCAGACAACAGAAAGTAAGTTACATACAGTGCTGGACAAAATCTACCATACACATTTTCCAAGAACGCTTGAATCAGATTCTGATATATGTTCTTCTAAAAGGCAAAATATCACATCATTATTAAACAAAAAAATTAAATGTCAACAATCTTAATCAGCTTATATTTTGCATTGTTTGGATGGCAGTAGATTGGTAACTTGCCTTTTTCAACTCATCTTTAATACTGAAAGGAGAATGTGGACAAAAAAAATCCCAAGTCAGAAGGCGCTAAAGAACACACTGTCTGCTCTAAACTTGGAGGAGTGACTGTCTTTTAAGTAAAAATCCCTCAACAACTCCGTATTATTTCACATTTCAGAAAAAAGTATCAATAAAGCAACAAAACGAAGAACTATATTAAAAGCTTGTCCTCCTTAAGTTATATGGAAGTTCAGGTTTACACCATCCTTTAGTAGATGAGGCAAGTGTCTAGGAACAGACACAACATCTCTCCTGACTCCAATCCCAAACCGTCCCAGTACAGCAATTCCAATGCAGCTGCACAAACCTCCAAGTAAAAAGGTAGGGTTGGATCAAAAATTATTTTCAGACAGAGCATTTGTTTGAACTCAAAATGGAAAATCAATCAAGTATGGCAAACCATACAAAAACATGTATTCTCTATGATGTTGGAATTTGCCATTGCTGAACCAGGAAACTAAGAGCAACACTGAATACTTTAAGCTATATGCAGCACCTCTAAGAGGCTGACCACCATTCAGAATTAATTACCTCAAAACTGATGACACACAACACTAGGGCACTAAAAAGACCCTTTATTTCCATATAAAGCATAAGCCAACAAGAATCATTGGAGTTCCATACAAAGAAGTGAATGTGCATAACTCAAGATGTAGTGTAGGATAGTTATATTGCCTTAAGAGTTCTGCTAAGTACACTTAATTTCCAATTTTAAGGAAGAGTCTATTCTAATATAGAAAGCTTCAGACAAAACTCAGTAATTGCAGAGTAACTTTAAAATACATCCAGTTCTACATCCGCCTGCATATATCTAATCACATCCAATAGATAAAAAACTTATGTGTTTTGTAAACAAAGTAAAGAGTGTTAGAATAGAATTTTCACACCCATGAGCTTATTACCAAATGTTAACCCATTTGTCAGTGGATAATATAAAGAAATTCATACTAACAGTTATGGCAACAAGATGACAATGCACATAAGTGCTGCGTGTTCTGAAAGGTAATCAGTTTTAATTACCATGAATTGCTACGATCTATCACGCCTCATTCTATGCAAGATACCACGCCAGCCACCAATCCATAAACAATAATGTTTCACATACTTCATAGAGTAGCTTAAAACACATCGTGATATGAAATAATTTGTATTACATAGTAATTTAATCCCTGGTCACAGGGTTAATGTTGGACAAAGTCTGGAAACTTTCTTCCAATTTGAATTACATACATTAACTTTGCCACACACCACAGCACTAATGCATGTATTACTTCAGACATGCTCTAATTTAAAATCAAAACAAAAAGGTTGTTGCAAAAATACATGTCACCAATGTGGAACACATTCAAGATTGTATAAAAAGTACTGAACTGATATCCCAAAACAGGTATATTTAAACAGTACATAAGGAAAGTAGTTTTAATATGAAACAGTCATTTAAGTCACATACAACATGATAAGAAGCATGACTTCCTTTTTTAAAAATGTTACACCAATACTTCTACTGCCAGGCAATGTTTATTTATAGAATGAAAGGGATATATTTAATGCAGATGTGTTATCATATTAAGTTGGAATAAAGACAAATGTTAAAAAGGTGCTACATTTGAACACCGTTGATTTTGTAAAAATCTCAAACCATGAAAAGCATTTTGCTTGCAAATATCGTAGGCCCCGAACTGCAAACACTTTGAAACCATCTCAACCGTGCATGCAGCTCCACTGACTTCATTAATGCTCATGTGCTTCAAGTTAAGCCTGAAAAATGCGATTACAAAACTTGTTCTTAGATGTAAAAACTTCAGAGGTCACAGAGTATATTCTTCTTTGAGCAGCCCTCAAAGTTATATTTCTGTTTTAACAGAGCAAACTTTATTACTTTTATCTTGTCTCTTTCACTCAAAGATCTCAAATAACAACTAGGCCTCTAAACACCCTTGGGAAGTAAGCGTTGGGTCTGATCTTCTGGAAGAAGAGATGGAGGCACAAACAGTTAACCTGTTTGTCTCAAATTGTAGAAGGGATCAGTAAAACAGCCAGAAACAGGATTTTTGATACCGACCTTGTAGCCTATTTGCAGTACTGTTACTTAGCCTGACACCAATGAAGCAAGTATTTTAAAGGGATGAAAACCCCTAAGTATTAAGGGCAGTTCAATCCAGTTTATACCTATTTATCTCAGCCTGAAGTTAAAAAAAAACAAAACCCACTCAAAACATTTTGGGTAATACAGGCTGTATTTCTGACCGTGACAAGGAGCAATTTAAAAAGGACACAAAAATGTTAAGGTTTGTAAGATTTACAAAATCTTTGCAATATTTTTGGTGTGCAGCACCAGTACAGTCTAAACCACTAGTAATGAAAGAAGCACATGATAGTTCAATACAAATTGTTTCATGTAGAGTATTACAAAAAACCTCACCTATTCTAATCAACCCTCCCTCCCACCCGCCCTTCTATAACTAATTTCTAATTCTAACCAGCTGACATTTTCCTAGTACCTTACTAACAAAACATGATTGTTGTTTTTCCTGTGCATACTTGAACTACTACTAGTCAATACATGCAGAGAAAAACAAAGTGTAACCCTCTCTCTAGATGAAGAGTCCAGGCATGCCAAGAGCGTATCAGCAGGGCAAGTGTATTGGCTGGATGACTTTCGGAGATCCTAATCAGTCATATCTCTATGATCTGTGTGGTAACAAATTTGGTTTAGTTGTTAATTTGTTTTTATTTTATATAATTAGCATTTGCTAATGCCTTGAATTTGCAGGCTAATAAAACACAGAAAATTTACTGGGTTACAAACCCAACATAGTAGCAGTTTAGAAAAACTGAAATAAATTGTTAGAATAACTTTCACAAATACAGGATTTAAGGCCTTATAAAGTGATACTACAATTGATTTTAAGTTTGTAAGAACACTAAATTCTAATCCTTGGTAGCTAATACAGAAAATACTTGCGTAACTTCATGTAGGGTTGAGGAAGAGATTAAGAAATACACAGGTATTTTAAATACAATGTCTGCTCCAAAAGGTTAAAACATTAATTGGAATTCTGAGAACAAACACCCCAAACATCTTCTCACAACAGGAGTGGGAAAGGTATTTTGAACAGTATGTTTGGGTAACAATATCATCGTTGGAGCTTTTGTTGATTTTTCACTGAGCAGAATTTCTTATTTCATTGACATTGTTGTAAGTCTGAACTAGCTCCACTACCTTCACAGTGCAAATTGTTGCAGAGATTACACTGATTCCCAGAGGAACAAATCCACCTAAAAAAGGCTTAGTTTAATTTCTACTTTAGATACCAAAAGCAAATTCTAACAGTCAGTCAGTCATTAGGAAAACTACTGAATAATAAATCTCTCTAACAGAGGTTGTTGCTTGCTTGGTTTTTCTGTCGTTTGCTTTTAAATATCACACCTCTAAAAAAAAATTAAGATTAAGTTTCCATTTCTCTGCTAAATAAAGCAAACAGTGATGAAAAGAGAAGCCATGGATCTGCTTTAAACTTTCTTTACATCCCCATACAGGAAATTCTCAAGATAAGAATTGTGTCATTTACACTTTAGACATTATTTCCTTTTTCCTGATGAGAGGCAAGACAAAAAAGGAGAGCAATGCTGCACTTCTCCATTAAACAGTATACAAAGCTTTTCACTTTTAAAATAAAACAAGGACAGTTATGTAGATCTGCACAGTATCTTCCAGGAAAGTACTACAGTAGAGCCCATTTAAAATCAAGCACAATGATGAACTAACAAACAGGCCTTGCTTTTCATGCATTAGCATAGCTTACCGTAAGAAACTACCTCTTTATAAAGATGACTGTAGTCTATATAGGCTCCTACCTCTCTCATCACCATAGACCTGAACAATTTTATCACATTAAGGAGCGCGACGAGTACCTGTAATGCCTGACATTAGATTTAATTGCTGATTGTTTAAAAACTAAAGGTTTCCAGTACAGTGGTGAGTATTGCAGGCAGAGTCTGTTACTACAGTGCCACCTTTTAGTTAAGTTAAAGCAACACTTCTCTATACAGAAAGACCCATTTTCAGTTGCATATGCAACTTCACCACACTCCTAAGGCTGAATTCTTCAAAGCTAGATGCTTTCCCACGTTGAAAAAAAAAAAAAAAAAAAAAGGGGGGGTGTGTATTTCTGAGATCAAGAATAAGATCAAATTACCCATATTAAAAGGGAATTCTTAGCATCACACTTGAAGCTCTAGTACCATTCATACTTGTCAGCTGGACGTCAAGTTTAGCTAAGAAGCTAAATTCCAATTACTTGCTCCTGATGCGAGCTAAACTCACCTGATGTGAAAGCTGTATTTTTCTTCACCCTAGATTTCCCAGCCCCTCAGTGCAAGACTGGCTGAGGCAGCAGTGGGTAATTCAGTTTTAAGACTTTGTGGGCCAAATTATCCTCCAATTCAGAGCCTGTGCTGAGCACAGTCCATCACCTTGCACCCTCCTTCATGCCAAGTGGACTGTGGAAGCTCAGGGCGACCGAGCAGGCTCCAGCTGAAAGCCCTAGAAGATGGGCAGGACTTTCCCTGCACTAGTTCATTCACACTTCTCAGGTAGCAGTGAGGCAGCAGACCAGATCCAGCAATGAGAAAGGATGAGAGAGAAGTGCATGATTGCACAGCCGTGACAGATGGAGACACTGTTTCCTAATGTATGTGCTTAAGGTAAATTAAGGTTACATATGCAACCCTAGTTTTGGTATTCTCTAGATTTAAAGCACTGGACTTCATAAACTTGATGTGTTCTTTTTCCAATGTAATCATATTTTGTAACTATTTCCAAATCCTGCAAGACCTAGCAAGAGTCTTCAGTAAGTATTTGCTGAGAAGTCAAAAGAGATCATTGCCTTCTTGAGGAAATATAAATGTGCGAGAGTTAGCAGGTTTCATTGTGTTACTAAACATGAAATCATCAATTTTTGGATAGTGTGTTAATGTTTTGCTTCAAAAATAGGAAAAAGCACACATGAAATTCTCTGTGTTTACCCTAAAATAAAAACTATTAGTACTGCACATTCCTCCATGTTGTCTCCACTATATTCAAAGAAAAAATAGCAAGAACATTTGTAATGGACATTCACCTCCAAAAAAATAAAGTGTAATGAGTACTTGCAAATATAGTACCATTAAACCCAAGCACTAAATGCTAGTGTTATTTACTAAGACATTAATACTAGCAAATTAGGTGCTATTCATACAGGCACATTTTTGCCTTCGATAAAATTGTCAACGCACATCCTAATTCTGATCAGTTGTCAATTATGTTTTACAGTTTAATTGGAAACAAAAAATATTCCATCCTGTAAAACATTTGCACACAGAAAACAAAGAGTACAAAAGCTGAGATGGAAGTTTATGAATGAAAACAGATAAGGGAAAAAAAGACGACAGCAATCAAACACAACTGATTGTCTGCAGAAAGTGAAGTACCCAATTTGTAACCAAATCTTCATAGTAAGTATTTCAACCACTACCACCAATTCACGTTGTTAGCCGTCCGTATTCAATGCAGGTGGTCCTGCAGTCTCTCTTGTACGCATTAACTGCACATCTTTGTCAGCCATGCAAGTATCACAGCCCCATACTGCCGATGCTTCTGCCGTAAGAAGGCCATAAGCTGACTCAGTCATGCCTGTACAGATCCGATGAAACCATTTTTGACAAGAGGCTTCACAGAGGATAGCATCCTGATCATCATTAACTTCATGTGTACAAATTCCACATGGATAGACGGGTTCAGAGGATGAGTGACCATGACGACTGGGATGAAGGGCTGTTTTGTTGCTCTTTTCAGAGTTGCATCCTTCAGCAGTACCTCGAGGCTGGCGGGACTTACTCTGAGTCCCATTTGAATGACCAGCATTAGTGTTATCAGCGCTATTAGAATGGCTATTATCCTGATTTACCACATTGTTTCGTGTAACATTTTTTAGGTCACTGTTACCTTGACTCACAATGTCCTCTGTCCTGTGATGATGCTGATGAGCAGCAGTGTTCTGGCTTGATGCTTTGCTTGCACCTTGACTGAAGTCTTGCTTTTGTGCTGATGATTTTGTCTGGTTGTACGCGTTTGGTGGAGGAACAAAAGAATGGTTTGACTCTAGCTGAGAATTTGGGAAATTTGGATTGTTTCCAGGACCAAAGTTAGATGGCACATCAGGGTGAGGTATCTGACCAGAATGACCAAAGTTCTCACCAGGATTTGGTCTGAAATGCTGACTAGGCATATTGACATTTTGATTTATCTGACCGCTACTATAAGGTGGTTGATTCCCAAAACCTGGATTATCATGTGGACCAAAGCTGAAAGAGTGGGGTCGGCTAAAACCCATTCCCACAGGGTTTTGAGGAAGGGGATGTGGTTGATTTCTGAGAGAGTAAGAACCACCATATGGCGAGGACACTCTAGGCAGCATGTGAGGTGGCATTCTGAAAGTGTTATAGCCTCCAAAGCCAGGATAACCAGGATTACTAAAATACGGATTTCCTGAAGGAAGTGGTTTATAAGACACAGTATTATAGTTGTCATCAAATGGATTTGCAGCTACAAGGTGGTCAGAGCTTGGATTCGGCGGTGGAGCATATTCAGATGGAGGAGGAAATGATGATCCCTAAAAATATTTTAAATACAACATTTACATTAGTTTTAGTATTTCCCTGGGAGACAGACCAACCTCAAAGGTCCTGGATTAACAGCACTACTGCTAAAAGAACTGTTCAGCTGTTGTGTAAAGCTCACCCACTGTACCCTGCCAGGCTGTCTGAAATTTCAGTACAGAGGCAAGAGAGGAGTTTGGGCTCCAGGCAACATGGTGATTTATTGTAATCTCAGTGTTTTAAAACTTGTGCAGTTGCACAACCATGCTTCTGAAAATACTACTTGATGTGTGACTTTTAGTTCTTAATCTTTTACATAAGAAAAGCAACAAAACAGAAAGTCACATGTCACTTAAACACATGCATAAAACGTTTCCAAATATTGAAGAGCAGATTTGAAGCATTTCCTTAGTTTTATTTTGGGTTCATTTTACTGAATGTACATGTCTTAAGACAGCCCACTTCTATGACAATATACAAACCCTAAAAAAGGTATACAAAATATAGGAGTCTGCATGTAGGAATTTTCTACGTTCTGTGTACCAAACAAAGGTGTCCCTTATGAGCATTCAGTGCTTGTGGACAGTCTGCAAACCATAGTCAGTAGGTATAAAATACAAGGATTTCTGGTTACAGAGCATAACCAAGTGTTTAATGGAGACCAGAGGCTGTTTAAATGTCATCAGAGAGGCTGCAGAATTAAATTCAATTGTAGAGTAGCCTGTGGGGAACATCCAGCTGGTTCACCCTCAAGATGTGTTCACAGAAAGCATTTCCCCCTAAATACTAATAAACTTCAACTGAACTTTTTTCTTTTTTCCCCAAAAATTTCTGCTGTGCTGCAAATTTTGAACCTGGTAAGAAAATAGAAGAAGCTAATCTGCGTGCCCTCTACAGTTGTCATCATTCCAGAATACGAGGAAAGCTCCACCCAGAAAGAGTCTGAAACCATTAAATTAACTGAGTATTTCTCACCATGACTACTTTAAAACAAAACAAAAACTAAGAGAACAGATCCACATCTCAATGGAATCTGGATAGGCCTAACAGAAAGTGGATGTTTGACCTACATAAATAAAATTACTCTCACTGGGCAGTACCAAATTAACAGATACTCTCATTCAAAGCTGAATGAACACACAAAGGAAAATTCTGCACTACAGATACCTAATTGCTTTAGATGTTTTGTACTCAGGCTTCCTTTTTCTGGAAACAGAAACTGTATAGAAATGCCAGACTGCAGGGATTCACTGGAAAGGAGCTGAACCTGCCTCACAGCTTTTGCTTGAAAATCACTTGGGGAATACGCCAAGAGTATGGTCAAAGCATTAACAAACTGAACTGATCCATTAGCCCACAAACTTACACATCTAGGAATAAAAGTATGAAGAAAAGTAGTCTCATGGCATCTACTCATGCTGTACAGATTTCTACCAATGGCTACAAAGCCATTAAAAGAAAGTCTGTCTCAGAATTACATCCATATGGTAAAACACAAGTTATTGCAGTCTCACTGTGCTCCTCTCTTTATAGGTCTTTGGCAACCTACAGAGATTAAAATAACTTCAGTGAGGATAACTAGTATTATGAAGATTTCAACTTCACAGTACAAGTGAAATATTTTTTGCATGTAACTGCTATTTGTAAGAACAGACTGATATTCTGAACAATGCCAGATAGTCATACCAGCAAACAACATCTGAGTGCACTATTTATTAGAAATCACAAAGAACCAAAGGGAATTTACCTGTGTATTTGCTTTGCGCTTTTTTTTATCAGGGCTTCCAAGTTGTACTCCTGGTCCTCCTAACCCATCCAATCCACTGTCACCACCTACAAAATTTCAATCAGGACAATACTGCATTAGTTTTCTTACAGACTGTATTTAAGATTGCCTCCATCTGTCATAGCAACAGTTATCTGTTACAAATACTGTACTTGCGATGTAAAGCACCAGAATTAATGCAAGTCCTAGCAAACATCCGGAGGTAGAAGTTAACATACCTCGTATACAGCTAATCTTACACCATTACCACTTTAATGTCCAATTCATGCTCATTGCAGTTTGAATAAATATTTCCATTTATTTTATGTTTGTCTGTCCCTTGGTTCTTAACATCTTCACTTCACCAGTTAGAAGTATTTCTTGTTCGCATAATACATAAAACTTTCAAAAGAACCGCTTAAAATCCCGCCTAAGATTCACCTCCTATTTCACTTACACAGACATAGCATTTATCAAACTAACTGTACTGATATACAACAGTGCATTACAATATGCCATGAAGGAAAAAACAAACGGTAGTAGATACATGAATGAAAACCACTGAAAACCTGCCATGTTGTTTATACAGATTTCCAGTTGATCAGATCTGAATTTCACTAAATCCAAGACTTGATCAAACAAAAAGACACCTGCCAAAAATGAGAGGGGCTCTAAGCGTACCTGCCCTATTCTGCAGAAACCTCACAGAATAATTGAGCATGCCTGCTCCGGCACAAAAGGAAGTAAAGAACGTTCATTTTATTGGTTACTCAATCAGACTTGACTCTGAGCAATATAGAGATATCTGTGCTTCACCTGGGACTCTTCTCTACCTTTTGTAATACTGGGACAAGCTCTCAAAGTTGTATATAACGTGAGTTTATTTTTAAAACTCTAGTTAGGTTGTAGACAAACAAAAAACAACAACAACAAAAGATTCTAGCACATTCCTTATTATCCTAGCTGGCCTACCTTCATGGGGGCTCAAGTAAATTTCCCATCATATGGGAATGCGAAGAAAACCCTGAGCTGAAGTATGAAAATCACTTTCAGGTGATACGAGAGCAACAGGTGTTAAGATACTAAAACCATTACATTAAGAAACTGTGTATTAATTAATTTTTTACCAGGTCCATTAAAATAATAGCTTATTTGCTCTTTAAAATTTTTACATTGGATTGCCCACTTCTTAATATTCTAGACTGTTACTGTATATATATTTTTTTTCTGTTCTTTGTTTAAAACTCATATTCAGAATACAAGTCAAACTTTATCAAGATGCAACACATGGGTTTGTTTTTATTACCAAAGGCAACCTGAAGATAACTGTGAATTATCAATAGTACTATGCTAAGAAGCATAATGTATGACATTATGCCGCTCTACGTTAGACAAGTATTCTCAGCAGACAGCTGAACCATCTTGAGGACTATTCAGTAAAGTAATACAAAATCTTTTCTCACAGGGAAGAAGTAGACCTATTGTATACAGAGTGAAATATCCAACAGTTATTTCAAATACTCCTGATCAAAGGAGGTCTGACAAATTTTCACACCTACCACTTCCTTCCTCCCCTGCTCCTTTTTTTGAGGTTTCAGGAAATTTAACAGTCCTACCTCAAGCAGGAATCCAGTTCTGCTTCTGCTTTAATAACTTCCTTTTGGCTTAGGCTGTCACTATTGAAATTTAATTTCATTTTTCATTATACATAAGGAAGATTTGTGGACAACCCAAATCAACACCTATCAAATTTTAAGTCTGAATTTCAAAGACTAGGGCATAATGTCACGATTATGTTCTCAAAATAAACTCATGCTTGAGGATAGCATATCACGGTATAACCCACCGTCAGAGTAACCAGTGATTACTCTTAAAAATAAAACCCAAACAAAAAACCCACCTTTTTGCCTCGATTTAGAATACAAAATCCTGCAGACACTTAGTGTGCTATGAAGTACTGCCACTGCATTGACCATAGATAATAAATAATCACAGCCTAAAGTTTTACGTAAAGAATGATGAGAGATCTCCCTTAACTTTCAACTCTACAAATCATCTTCTTGATAAACTATTTGCTCAAATCTGTCCCTGCACTTTCCATTAGCCCCTTCTCCAGCACTCCTATACGTTTATCCTAAATTCAGTGGGAGATTGTAATGTGAACACCATTCCTTACAACTGCATGAAATATACTCCTGTTCACGGTCCTGTACTCTTAATACATAAATGTTAACCACTGCTAGCAAAATATTACAAACATCCACATTTCTTTTAATAAATTCAACACTAGAAGCAGAGATATTAATAAATCTGTGATCAAGCAGAATACTGAGGATCCCATGCAAGTGCTGTTTTATAATAGCAAAATTAAAACTTTATTAAATTATGTATATAATTCCTCAAAAACATAAGCATATTAGAATTCCAGTGACAAGCTCCACCAATTTCCACATGAATGAATTACATGGATGAAGCCATTCATATGGTTTGCAGAACAGAGTCCTACGTCTGGAAAGGTACAAAGCTTTTGTATTTTCAGTTCTCGCTGTGTGAGGCCAATGATTTAATTTAGCTCTACGAATTTATATTTTCCCTGTGGATTTTATAATGATTTAATTTATACATGAAAGGAAACAGAATGTTAGTCCTAGCATACCTCCAAAAAAGAGTGAATAAGGGTCATTTTCATGCAGCCAAAATAAACTTTCCAGAAAGTCACTTTTGGTACCTACCACACAGACTTGCATTAAAAGGTGTACCAAGCATTTTGGAATGCTGCACCAAGAGTGCAAAAAATTATTTCATTGTCTGAGGCTAATTTTCCAGGGAAAAAATACAATCCTTTTGACTGGGACATCATATATGTAATGGATCTAGAGATATAAATACCTATCTGATAACTATTCCCTTATTTATTAACAGATAAAATGTATTTCAGTTATTTACTTTTGGGAAAAGGAGAAGAAATAATTCCTGTATTCTTTTGCACTTCATACACACACAAGACAGACATTTTCAGTGTTAGTCAGGAGAACTGCAACTTGTAGTTCTGTTTACACATTAAGAGATTATGACTTTGCGTGTAATTTATGCCATACTGAACATACCGCCAATTCACTATGGAGCATTTTCATATTCACTGACAAATCTCTGTCTAGGTTTTTACAGGATGAATGCCAGAGTCTTTTTAAACAGTGCTTTATCTCAGTGAGAATGTTTTCCCAAGAAACACAAATGGCCGAATAAACTTTTCATTATAGACAGAAAACTAAAAAGAGTCTAATTTCAACCAGCTTTGGTGAGCCTGCTACGGATTCTGTGGCCCTGATACTGTAAACAGTTTTGATATTAAGCAGTAATCGCATGGAACTCGGTGGGTAACTCAGGCATGTGGAACTGTATGTGCTTAAATATTTGCAGAATCAGGGCTTGAGAGTGAAGGAGTCTAATGAATCCCAGCCTCCTTCGTAACACTGCTGCATATTTTCATTCTCTCATTCTCAAGGTTGCAATCCAGCTGTTACTAGAGCAGTTTTAGAAAAGCAAACTGTAAATGAATGACAATATGCATAGCAGAATCCACACCTTTCCCCAACCATAAAACAGCTTAAAACATCAAGAACAATAGAATTCCAGGGGCAAAACAGGACGTGAGGAAAAGAGAAACAATAAATTGCAGATCTTATCGTTTTGCCATGATTTTCACCAAGTCGGTCACCCTCCCGTCTTTCGTTATTTCATTCGGAAACGCATTTCTGGTTTTAAGGTCTATGAGGACACCTCAACTGCACACAGACTGAGGGGCTACTGCCATTAAAGTCAGCTGCCCAGCCGAAGTCGAGCCAGATACCGTATTTCTACCCTTCTCCTTCTCAAAGAAATCGATACTCCAAACCTCACCAGAGGCACACATCAGTGCTGCTATTAAAGAATAATATTTCGATAAATGTTTCAATTCCCGAAAAGAGGAAGAACAGCCCCCCAAGCTAGAATCAAGCCCAAGAGCCAGACCCAAGGTGGAGAAGCGAACACTCAAGTGTAATTTATGGGCTCTGCATCAACACTAACTCGGACATGTGGCACCGCCGCCGTATTCCCTTGCACCAGCAGAACGCACGCCGCATACTAATGGCCAGCACATCCAGAAAAACACAGGAGACCCCGCCGCGCTCCCGCACGCCTCCGCCGGCGGGGCACATCTGCGGGCACGGCCAGCCCCCCGCTTTGCCATTTCGAGGCCCGGAGGCTGCGGGGGCACCCGCGGGGCTGGGCCGGGCCCCACCGTGCAAACTTAGCGCGGCTCCCGCCCCGCCGCCAGCCGCAGGGAGGGACCGCGGGCGGCCCGGCCCGGAGCCCGGCGGGCAGCGGCGGTGGGGCCGGGCCGGTGGGCGCATCCCGGCTCTCCTCACGGGAGTTAGGCCCCGGCAGCGGTCACCCCCCCCGGCCC